TTTAACCTTCTCTTAGCAATTTGCTCCTCTCTAGTCTGTTTCACTGCAATTTTCTCCAATTGAACTAGAGTCGCATTATTTCGTAAGTAGTCAAAATTTTCCACACGAGGAATATGGTAAAAGTTAATAAGCCAAAAAAAGATTAAAAAAAATCCCTATCATTTGCACTTATTGCGAAAATAGTCCTTATCATTTCAAATTTGACACTTACACATTCATTTTAAACCTTTCTTGTGGAGTTGGTCTTTTTTGTCATAGTTCATTGAATTCTTTGGTAAAATATAGGTAATTTATTTTCATGGTACAACTAGTTGCCAAATTTTGACATCTACCTGGACATTGATGAAGTTTGATTGGGCTATTGCTTCTAAAAGGATAATTAATAGATTTACGTGCCTGGGATAACAATTGATGTTTCTGGAACTGATTTTTTTTGCTCCAAATGCACATCATTTTGATGATTACTAGCTGGAGTATAATGATATTGTCATTTGGGGAATAATAAATCTGCCATGGTTTTACGTAGTGGATTTGAATTTCTTTTGGGTCAGAATTTTCTTCCTGTGCATTGCAACTGAATTTGACGACAGCGAATATGGTTCAAAGGACTTCTCTGCTAAATTTTGTAAAGGTAAACATGGGTTCAATTTTCTGGTTCAAAGTACAATGTATGGTGGAAATTATGAATTATTATTATGCACATCAACTGCTCCACAAAATGCCCTAATCAGATTTTGTTGTTCCAAGGCGTGATTAAAGAACATCACCTTGCAACCTTCAATAAAATAATTCCTCACTTACTTTTGATTCGTATCTAAACTTAAATCTTGAGAGAAAAAGGATAGAAAACAATTCCAGGTTGCAAGAATGGACGACGGGTAAATTGCCCAACTTAAATTTCTCTTATTCAGAGCCCTCTTGATCATCATCTCTATTGAGGTAAGCTTGAAGACCGTGCATGTCCGAAACTAGCTTGTAAGATCCGCATCTTTGATCTCAAGCCAAGCTTATGGATTTGTTATTATTAGATGCAACATTCTATGAGTCATCGTTCCCTGAATAAAGGAAGGTGCAATATTTTTTGAAATCCTCGTTCTTTGAATAAAGGAAGATGTGGCATTTTTTGGACTCCTTCCTTGAAAAAAAGGAAAAAGTAGTGTTTCGAAGTCCTCGTTCCTTAAATAAAGAAAGATGCAATGCGATACTTTTTGGAGTTCTCATTCTTTAAATAATGGACGAGACGGTATTTTGGAATCCTTGTTCCTTGAAAAAGGAAGAGGCAGATCACCAGATGCTTATTTCTGGTATCGCGAGATGTTTATTCCTTGTCTCTTACTATCGTCGAGCTAAGTTGTAAGACCTTGTCTATCAGAGGCCACTTTTAAGACTCCGATAGTTAGAGAGCTATTTGCAGGATATTTATTCCCTGCTTCGCTAGATACTTATCTCTGGCTTTGCAAGATGTTTATTCTTTACCTCTCACTATCATCGATCTAAGTTGTAAGACCTATTCTATCGGAGGCCGCTTATAACACTCAGATAGTTCAAGAGCTATTTGCGAAAAGTTTATTCCTTGCCTTGCCGATGCTTATTTCTAGCCTCGCGAGATATTTATTCATCACCTCTCACTATCGTCGAGCCAAGTTGTAAGTCCCCACTTATAAGACTCTATTAGTTCGAGAGCTATTCGCGAGATATTTATTCCCTGCCTCGCGATATGTTTATTCCTCACCTCTCACTATTGTCGAGCCAAGTTGTAAGACCTCATTTATCAGAGGCGCTTATAAGATTTCGATAGTTCGAGAGCTATTTGCAGAATGTTTATTCCCTGCCTCGCCAGATGCTTATCTCTGGCTTCGCGAGATATTTATTCCTCACCTCTCATTATTGTCAACCCAAGTTGCAAGACCTCATCTATTAGTGGTTGCTTATAAGACTACGATAGTCAGAAAGCTACTCGCGGAATATTCTGGTCCTGCCTCGCCAGATACTTATTACTGACCTCGCGAGATGTTTATCCCTCGCCTCTCACTATTGTCGAGCCTAGTTCTAAGACCTCATCTATCTGAAGCCAACATATAAGACTCCGATAGTGCGGATCTATTCACGTGATGTTTGTTCCCTGCCTCATTGATGTTTATTCTTGGCTTCGCGAGATATTTATCTCTTGCCTCTCACTATCGTTATGCCTAGCTCTAAGACCTCTTTTATTAGAGGCAAGTTTATAAGATTCTAATAGTTCGAGAGCTATTCACGACCGATTTGTTCCTCGCCACGCCAGATTCTTGTTCTAGCTTTGCGAGATATTTATCCATCGTCTCTCACTATCGTCGAGTCTAGCCGTAAAACCTCATCCTTCCCAATCTAGCTTATTAGATTTTGATAGTTTGAGACAAGCCAACATCTCAATATTCATTCATCACTCTCTAAGATGCCCCATCACACGGATGTTGCATTATAACTATATTTATCTTCAGAGAGCTCATTAAACCGATGCTTCTGCTATATTTTAGCAGCATCTATTTTTAGAGAGCTTGTCGCACCTCTACATGAAATGCACCCTAATCAAAGGTGCCTTGCAGTCAACTATTCTCCTAAATGCACCCACTTAGTCGAGCTTATATTCTCCTAAGCACATTAGCTTAGTCGAGCCATTATTATAATCCCTTCCATGGATGACCCATCCACCATGTAAGAAGCCCTTAATGAGGTGCATGATACCTCCCATGAGGTCAGATCATACAAGAATGTCCACTTCGATAGACGAGGTGCGTGACACCCCCACAGGGGTCGCCTCTGATTCCATCGAAGATGATACTTTCCATGGATAAACCATCCACCATGGAAGAAGCCCTCGCGAGGTGCGTGATACTTCCCACGAGGTCACCTCTTCCAAGGATGTCCACTTCAATAGGCGAGGTGCGTGATACCTTCACAAGGGTCGTCTCTAATTCCATCGAAGATGATGCTCTCCATAGACGAAGCATCCACCATGGAGGAAGCCCTTAATAAGGTGTATAATACCTCCCACGATGTCACCTCTTACAAGGATGTTCACTTCGATTGGCGAGATCCTGAGACCCCTGTAGGGGTCGCCTCTGATTTATTGAAGATGATGTTTTTCATGATTGGATCAAATACCGTAGAGAAAGCCCTTGACATGGATACACTACCCCCATGTAAGGTGTCAGCTTAACACAACAACTCCCATTCAAAGCATTCTCTGCTACTTTTGTCCAGAGCATCGCCTCTGCAACTCATGTCCAAAGCGTCGCTTTTACCCAAAAGTCCGTGCATTATTTGAATATCAATACCTGAACTTGGGGGACTACTGTTACACTTATAAATTACGTGGCATCGACTAGTAATTGGATTGGGCTTATTTAAATAAACAATTTTGAGATTGGGCTTGACCCATTACCTTTGTGACCCATTTACATTTTCCTATATATGTGATTTTATTTCACACAAAGGTATATTTCCAATCCTATCCAAATCCCCTCTCCCTCTCCGACACTCTCTTTTCTCTCTTCCGACAGTTGACTTGACCATCGAAGTGCAAACAGTCGTCAGATCTTTTTCTCGATCGGGGCCCTTTGCCTCCTAATGGGGGTGTTCTAGTATACATGTGATGTCTATGTGGATGGGAGGTGGAAGGGATTCTGTTGGCGCATTTTTTGAGGTCAACGGTTACAAAACTAAATTTTTGTTTTGGTTCTAGAAATATATTTTTTAATTTCTCAATTAAATCTTAATTCTTATAATTATGTGTTTACAAGATAATTAAGAGTTTATCATATAAAATATAAGCTTTGAAATAATAAAATTTACTCAATGGTTTATACTTCCAAATTTAGGTTTCCAACATATAAGACAAAACCGGACCGTAACCAATGGTTTATCAGGAAAGAAGAAATCCGATCATACCAAGTTTTGATTGGATATGGTTAGATTCCTTTTTCTTCTAGGGAATCAATGGATCCATTTTTACAATTCTTTATTTAACGGAGTGGAAGTAGAGATGTAAACCGACTAGCTTTAAGCCATGTATTCATAAGGTAATGTAGGAATAAATTCAAGTTTATTGGTTCGTTGTCAGAGCTGCATCCATCATTGTACTTACTACTTGACAAATAGTAATGATAAACAACTTGTATCATCATGACCTTCTATTCAAATTAAATCGACGAACTTGAATGTTATAATCCTTTCATTTGAATTTCTGTTTAAAATATCTATTCGGGGAGGGAAAAATGGATGTACTCAACTTCCAAATTTGTTCAAACTTGGCTTGGCACGGATTTTTTTTCAGGCATGCAAAGCTAGTCTAGATTGATCCTTGTGGGCAGCCGGCCTCTAGAGTCAAACCTGGCATGACTCAATCGTGAAAGTGAGCCCGCCAGAGCATTTAGAATTGGTTATCCCTTCACATTTTGGTACATGCATTTGAAGGCACTAAACCTCAAGTAGCTTTTCTAGCTTCATATCAGTCGATCACTTGAGGTCGTGTGCATTATGCTTCCTGTGGGTATTCAAATTTGACAAGCCCAGATCTCAAATCATACAGCACTGCTAGATTTCACAACAAAAAGTAGAAAATATTGCTCAAAATGCTGTTCTGGATGTATTATTTCTCAACAGATCTGACCTCCCGCCCACAATGGGTAGGATAAAAACTTCTCACAGCTGACATGGCAAAAGAACTTATGATTTTCTATCATAGTTATACATTCATAGAACCATACTTGCGGCTCTATCTGCAACATTAGCATTGAGAAGTTTTTATCCTCCCCACTATAGGTAGGAGATCAATTCTATATTACTCAATACACAAGCAGCAGCAAACATGAGATCATAGATGAGAAAAACCAATTACAATTGGTTGCATGCTTATTGGTTGTTCACAAGCAAATTCTTTTTGTCTTTACGCGAAACAACTTATTATGAATTTTCTCGACAAATTTCATGACAAAAACATTAATAACAAGCCATTGCTGGTTCTAGTATTTCCTGTATGCTAGCTCCTTCACAGCATCAGCAAGATGTTTCTCCTTCTGAATGCTCTGCACCCACTTAGCATTGATGTGAACCCTCTCGATGCTCTGCTTCAAGGTCCTGGCTATATAAGACTCCATGCGGCTAGCAAAATATTGTTCTACTTCTTCGGCCTTCTCATAGGAAGAAAACTGAAGCAGAATAAAAAAGAAAGGGCGATTTTAATCAGTTATCACCAGAAATTCTTCATGTATTAACAAAATAAACAGCATTGGATACAAAAGGGGAGAGGTTAAAAACCTGCGACACAATTGAACTGATGAAGCGAGTTATTAGGAATCCCGAGCCATATGTTCTATTAATGTGGTCCCAATTTTCCTGTATCACAATACCCATTGATTATGGGTTAGCATTTCTTTAGTAAAAAGTACTCATGCATACCAAGACACAAACAGAATAAGTATGTGTATCAGAATGACTAATATAAAATCAATACAGATAGCATCTCGGATGACAATTTGTTGAACTTACTTTCAACCAATTCCAAGCCGTCTCGCGTCCATCCCTACTAACAGAGAGTCCAAAAACAACGTCTTGACTTCGAACCTATTTTTAGAAAGAAGGAAGCTCAAAAAGGTCCGAAGAAAATTCTATAGAACATCAGATCTCAATAACTAAACAAGACCAATAGTACCTCACTAGACAACAAAAAGTTGAGAAATTCATGAATAATTTCAGGATCCCGGCAGGATGCTATAGAACCTGAAACAAGGATGGGAATCCATTAGTTGCTGCAAAACAATTCTAATTTTGATCAGATGAATCAAATGATAACTTCAAACCTAGAATTCGTGTCTTTTCCTGGCTGAGATCAGTTTCTCTATAAACTCTTAAAACAGAATCGTAGCCAGATCTGTTTGATTTACTCACATTCTGCATTATAGCTACATATACAGTCTGGAAATGGGAAAAAGAAGATGCGTAAGTGCAAGAAAAGAAAATTCACAGTAAACATGAAAACAAATGTATTTAAGTTTGTCTGTATTACTTTTCTCAAATCAGGAGGAAGAACAGGTGTGTTTCTGTCTTCCAAAAAGATGTGGAAGCGCCTGTTTGCTTCATTTAGCGTTGTTTCATGTCCAAATGAAACCAATGCAGTCAAAACTTCTCCTCTTAACATGGCGTCAAGGTGACCTTCCCCTTGTTTAGGATCCCAACCAAGTGTCCTGATAAATAAGTGTAACAACAGCCAAAAGCATCATAACCTATTAGGATACAGAATGCATTTAGTAGGTTATATTTGATTCTAAGTATGCACCAGTTCTGTTGCTCTACACAAACAGAAATGACCCATGGGTATAATTAATCACTCGACTAATATGCAGCAATCTCATGGGGAGGAAAAACAATAATTTTTATTTTTTTTTCAATTGTTGATACTCAATATATTCACTACAATGTTTTGTAGGAGAAAGACTTCTCTTGGATCTCTCCACTTGATCTATAAATGACTAAATTTCAGGCAAAATGACAACCCAAACCGATCTGAAAAATAAGGACAGCTTTTAGCACAAAGAAGATTAAATAAAATAGTCATATTTCTTAAGAGTCGTAAAAATGAAAAATCGGTATCCATTTTCTGCTTAATATATGCCATCAAACCTCTTTGACAATTGAACCCCAATAGGCAACAGGAATCTAAGAATATTTATTCAAAATCTATTTAAATTCTTAACATTACTGTTGTAAATTCACAACTGCAACTAAGTTCCCCAGATTTGGGAGAATTCTGCTACAAGAGCAATAAAAACTGCATCTGGTCAATCACATAGGTGCAGGACGGTAGCAGCTAGTGTAGGGCAGTACTTGGCATCTCATATGATACTGGACATTGGACAGTACAGGGTGGAATTTTTTATTATTATACAGAACAGAATTTTAAATATATTTGATTGTGTCTTATGCTTTTAACATTGAGGATACTGTTTCAAAAACTTAGGTTTTTTTTTAATAGTGTATTATAGGTGCAGGTAGATCTAGTAGAAGATACATTGACGTATCACACCAACAAATTTTTTAA